CTTTGTGAACCACACGTGTCACGAGAGTTTCTCTGTCGAACGGGGCAAATCTCACAGCTACAACTGGTCCAAAATGCAGCAGAGTACATAGTTAAGTTGCATCACTGTTGCATGAGCTACACTGGCTCCCAGTTGCTTTCCAGGTACAATTCAAAGTGCTGGTTATCACTTTGAAAGCTCTACATGGTACAGGGCCAAATTATTTGTGGGAGCACCTCTCTCCAAGGCTATCTGCCTGTTCTACTAGGACACACTCCAGGTCCCTTCCCTTAAATGTTTTAATCTAATGGGACCTTGGAGGTGCACCTTCCCGTCAGCTGCCCCAGTCCTTTGGAATAGCATCCCACCTGAGATTTAAGGGGCTCCTACCCTTTTAGCCTTCCAGAAGGCCATAAAGACCTGGCTCTCCACACAAGTATTGGGCTAGAATGGGGGTTGAGTCAGGAGGTTATTAGTTTGGTTTGTCTGGTGCCTGGTGTGAAGGATTGTTCTGTTTTTATTGGTTGTTGTGAGCTGATGTGAAAGACATTGGGAGTGGCCTTGAGGGACAGAAGGATGAGCTGCTACCAGGGCAACAGTCAGATTTTTTAGCTGGGCCAAAAAATAACTTGAGAAAAAGTCTCTGACAAGCCCCTCCCTAGTTCACATGAAGATAAAGGGAGGAAGGGGGAAGCATGTTCAAACTTGCAAGATTCTGCTGCTATAGCTGTTACAATAAAAGTAGTCCTGACCTACATGGCATTGGTTTCTTAGTCTGGTCTACCTTGTAGGCTGACCATATGTAATGCACTGATTGGTTGGATGCTATCTTGTTTACTTATACTGTATTGTGTTTCTTGTCATGTTATTTGTTTGACCTGTGAGCTGCCCAGAGTTGTTTTGTTGGAGTCAAGTGTTGCCTAAAGCTAACAACAATAATAAACCTTCCCAAAACCACAGTAAAAATCAGCTCCATCCACTTTTCATCATTGCTTTACCCACTGTGTCCCTTGGATTCCCAATAAATCATAAGTATGGATTTCACTTGATCCACACCACATAGGTTTGCACTATAAATGTCTTTCAAGAAAATTTCTATCTGAAACATTAAAAGTTCTGTAACTGGACCTTCTTAGTGGTGGCGCCTCTGCATACCTGGATCTCTTCCTCTCTGCTGCATTTCCATATGGCCATAAAAACATAGCTATTTGATAAAGTTTGGGGGGGATTTTCATTTGGGCCTGCCCCTCATAGATGGCACAGTTACTGTATAATTTATGTTGTGTTTTGTTTGTTTTTATGTATTACAGGGGGTTTCTTGTACACTGGCAAAGCCAGTTTGAAATGGAGTGGAACAGAAATCTTAGTAATGAATAAATAATACATGAAAAAATTAATGTCAGCCCGAGATGTAGATCAGACCAAGAAATCAACTTCACATTAAGACTAAAATGACTTTTATTAAGATTGGCTACAGTAACAGAATTTTGCAAATCTGACTGTGTTTTGCCTCCTCCCTTTCTTATACTCATGTGAATTAGGGGGGCATCTCTCTAAGATGTTTACACATACTGTAACGTCTTCATTGTTTAGGCTTAAGTGATAATTCCCTCCTTGTTCCTCTGGTAAGGCCATCCTCTTTACTCTTTATGCTTCCACCGCTCAAATCAGAAGTTAATAGGGCTGAGCAGCACTTGGAATCAAAGGCAAAAACATACTTTCGAGCATGCCAGGGTGCATACAGAGCCCTGTCCACAACACCTTAATTCAAAATCATGTCTTTTGCTGACACAGCTTCAACTGCAGAGGATGAACTGCACAATCCCAGGAAAAGATACAGTTGCTTTAAGGAACGGCCTACAGGTGCCAAGTGAACACCCCAACATGTTCCCAAATGCCTTTTTGCCCTCAAGTCATACTGCCCTAGAAGTTAACATTACAACTGCCACTGTTTTATACGTTTCAGAATTTTTTTTCTTTTCTGATTGGGATGCTTTTTTTAGCACTTCATGTACCAGCTATAAGGCAGAAAAGAATTATTTCAGCAATTAATATTCTACTGTTCAGTTAAAAATTGCCAGAAGGGGGGAAAAAACTACACAACACACGGTTTTAAGAGACAGAGAAAGAATTAAATCCAGCAGCACCAACATTAATTGAAACGAGCTTCAGCAAAATATTGGAAGGCTTCCGTACCTGACAAGCCTCTGTTCTATATTCGGTGCAACAAACCCTTTTCTCCAGTCACATCCACCCACCATATTATGCAAAGATTCTCAACAGCCAGGATGCAGGAGTGAGGGAGTCTGAAAAGCTGTGAGAAAAATTTCACTCTGCTGATATGTAGCCACACTGGTGGAACTTACTAGCATCCAGATAGGACAACAAACGCAAGGTTACTTGAATAATTAGTTATGTATTTGTTTATACACACATACAAATTGTGGATACCGCCTACCTCAGAGACTCGGGGCCATTAAAATTATAATACCCAACACAACAAATCCCAACAGACATGACAAAGTTAGCCTGAATCCCCCATCAACACCAAACATTTAATGCAGTCTTAGCAACCTTGAGAAAGGCTAGCTGGATGGAAGTTCCAGTGTGGGCCATTATTGAGAAGGAGTGCTTTCAGATCCCTCACCTCAGATAGGGTAGGAGCTTTACCTTTCTTTCTTGAGATGAACACAGAGGATAAGACAGCTGGTTCTGGAGATACACAGAGGCTAAGCCATATAGAGATTTGGGAGCTAAGAACAGCTTTACTTATACCAAAAATGTTAACAAGCCAGTGAGATGCAATGGTTAAGATGCTGGACTGATACCAAGAAGACCCATGTTCAATCAAATGTCTGTCATGGAAACTCACTGGGTGACTTTGAGCCAGTCACTACTTAATACAGCATCTAAAGCTCTTGGATGAATGCCGGGATATAAATCTAATAAATAAATAAAGTACAGTATTGCGTGTGTTCATTCAGTGCCTTGAGTCTATTATGTGAGTTGTCTGGCTCTGGCTTAATCATTAAATAAACTCAGCCACTGTGTTTAGTAAACCAACCCTGGTTTATGAGATATGGTGATATGTGAACCCAGGTAGTTGTGGCTTATTCAATGAAATTTTAGTGAGATCTGTGAATCCAGTCATTTAAATAAATATTTTAAGATCTGTAAAGTTTTTGCAATAAAGCTTTATGGAAGAAAAAAAATATTCAATATTTGTCAACTAATCCTGGAGCTAATAAATAGAATAAAATATGAACCTATGAACTTAAACACATACAAAATAACCAGGAAGAAACAAAAAGTTTTAGATTTGTGAAAAAATCAGCAATAGGGAAAACAAACTTGAATACTAGCCTTGAAAATGCTTCTTTGCTTTGATGAGCCTTCCAAGTCACATATCAAGGTCACATCATGGAGTCAATATAAGAGCTCAGCTATCTACTTTCTTTTCATGACATGGCACAGAGCAAGTTATTTTTAACTGAAGAGTTTGGAACAAGCAAGTCTACAACATTTTAGAAGAGCCACTAGACAGATCTCATTACTTTTACCATGCTCTGAACATAAAATTTTATTGTATTAGTACAATCCAGCTGCGTTTGGCTGTTCCAGACTTAAAGTCCATGTTAGTTCAAATAAAATAAAGGTATTATGTTTTATCTAAATCAGTTTGTTTAGATCCATTCTTCTTCAAACTTGAATTTAGAAATGTTGCTTGGGCTCTAATCTCTCTGACAAAGAAGCTCTTCTCTCAAGGTCCAAATATATAGACTCAGGCTCCAGAAAGATAAGATATGGAAGAACCACAGTCACATCTCTTTACTTTTGCATTTTCACTTAACAGCTTTTCAGGAGATCTCCAGATCTGATCAGTATATAGGCAGCAAGGAAGGTAAAATATGCCATCCTCCTTCCAACAATAATTTGGATCTAGTTCCAAGCTCTTTAAAATTATTTTTAGGTACAAATGAACATATCACTCCATGCAAACATGGGTTTTGCAGGCCTAATTCTTTTGAGTATTCAGTTTGGTTTGTTTATTCATTTATTTGTGGAATTTATAAAACCACCTCACTTACAATTTGTGATTCTGGACAGAGTACATCAATTAAAAAAAATTAAATCAAAAGATCAATATAACAAAACACAATCAACGCAAAGCCAAGTCTGGGTATAACAAACACTAATGCAAGAAAATCTCCATACTGAACTATAATTCCCAATAATCCCAGCCAATATTGGATGGGCAATGAATATAACTCTTAAGGAAAACAAACCATGGTTAACCATAATGTATAGTTGGGACCAATAAGAAAAACTAAATTAAGAAGCATGATTTTAGTTTAATTGATATTGTAAGGCTGTAACCTTATGGGCCCAAGGAAGGCTCACAAGGAGCCATAGGATTTTGCTGATTTTCATATTTACAGGCCAAGAATTATATCGCATAATTCCAATGAAAAGATCTACCACTGTTGTTCTTCACAGTTCTCAAAGCAGTGGAAATGGCAAAAAGGAAGCAGTCTGGAGATAGTTCAAGGAAAGATTTGTATTCATCAGTTCCAAAGCATTCATATTCCACCCAACTGTTCTCATACCTAGAGGAATAATGGAAAGAATATTTAATACCCTCTTCCTCCCAAAAAAGAATGCTGATGAAAGGCGACAAGACAAAAATGCTCCATCCATCTTTGCTTTCTATGCTATAAGCCTAGTAAAGTTTTGAATGTGGCAATCCTTCTGCCACAGGTTCTCCACCCATTTGGATTGCTCAGTCTGGTTTTTTCAAAAGAAGCAATAGCAATAAAATCTGCAAAGACTTACAGGGTCTCTCAGCTCCTCATAGTCTTTGCCTGATGTACGAGGTATTTTCATAGGGATTTCATCTCCACATTCAGTGTCGGAAGCATTGGGAGACTCTGCTAAGTCTGGGAACTCATCTCTCTTGTGTCCTCTGAACCTTATTTTGTCCAGCCTCTTTAGCATGTTCAGCACTGCACCTTTCTGCTTTATCTTAACATGATGGTTGGAGTCCCTGAAGAACACAAAGGGAGGAAGGAGAAGAAAGTGAAGGGTTATTGTCAGGACATTTATTTAACGTAAGTTCTATGCTGCATCAATCCCACAATTCTTGGCAGCACCCAAGAATATCAAAAGCAATATTATGGCATACAATGACCTCAATAAAAACAATCAGAAAAGTAACAATAAAAGATGACCACTTTCTTTTCCCATCTGGACTCAAACAAGGAAGGTTTTCAAAAGCTTTCTAAAAGCAGGAAATAAAGGGGCCAAACATATTTCATTGTATGTCCCACATAACTGAGGCCACAACCAATAAGGCTTGTTTTCTGCTCCGTGCCATCCTCGCTTCATGCAAGGGCAGCACGCTGAGAAGGGCTTTTCTTGAACACCTAAAAAGATGGGCAGATTTATTTTGGATTGCTGTGAGCTGCCCAGAGTCATATATTTCAGATGGGAGACTATATAAATTGAAATGATAAATAAATAAATACTGTAAATAAAGTGGCCCTCATTTGTGATATAAGAAATATTGTAATTATACACTATGCTCTTATTATTAAATCCCTACTAACAGGGAAAAAAAACTAATCACATTTCAGAAACCATATTTTAAAAAAATTAATTTGAATTCACATTTTCTTTATTTCACAAAGTGACTTTCTATACAAAAGAAAGCATCAGGTGGAATTCAGTCATATTTAGACCAGACACACTAAATCAATGGGATACATTAGATTAACTTCTTACATTGATTTCAGTAAGTCAATACTAAATAAATCTGTATCAAATCATCTCCCTTTCCATCAGTTACATAATGAAAATGACTGTGGGGTCAAAGTGTGTATATTTCATCTAATCAAATAAACATCCCCACCAATACAAAATTTCAGTTGACTTAACAGAATATGAAAATATACCATTCATCATAAAGATCTGGAAATTGATTATTGCTACATGTATGCGCTAGGAAATCCTGGGTTTAGTTCTCACCAAACCTAGCCTTAGGCAAATTTATACTTGACCCCAGAACTCAACTGAATACAGAGATAACAGTATCAGTATTGCTAATACTGTTAATAAAAGCAGTATTAATAAGCTAGCATCAGTGAAAAAAAGATATTCCAAAGAGAAATGTAACTATTACTATCTTATTAAATTGCACAAAAATGCCAAGTAAAGAGCTAGTAAATTGTGAAAAAAATAGGCTAGATACATTCATGTACTTATTTTTTCACACTTGTGTGCAACAACTCTGAGCATTTCAGTAATAAGATTAAAATACAATAAATTCACAATTATCTAACTAACAAATGAAAAGAATCACAATAATCCACAGTCAATCCTCCAGACAGCAAATGAGCATAAACCCATCCAGGGCCAAAGATAGGCTTCCATATTGACAGCCACACCATTTGGCTGGAATTGAAATTAAACCTGTTTCTCCCCATTCCAAGACTTATAGTCTTCAAGCACTGGAACAAGACCTTAATTGCAACTCCTATTTGGAGATATATAACTAAGTACCATAAGCATATTGATGAAACCTCACATGCCCCATAAGATTATCTTTCCCATTAGCTTCATGTAGGTATTACACAGGATAGGGGAAAGAGTTGAGCCCTATGGCATCCCACAACCAAGAACCAATAGACTCAACCTTTCCTACTCCCCCCCCCCACCATCACCTGTAACAATCTGCTCAGGAAGCAGAACCACAGTAAAAGTGTCCTCCACAGCCAACCATGTTGGTCCAGAAGGATGTCACAGGCAACAGCATCAAAGACAGAAGCAGACCCCAACCCCACCATACAAGAACATAATGCTCTTGCCCCATATTCATGTCCCCAAACCAAAGTATGATTTGAACTGAAAAATCTACAAGTGGGAACATCCAGTACCAATTTGAAGGGGAAAATCCTCATTTGTGCAACCTTAGGAATTGCTTAGAGCAAAATAGCTCACTTAAAACAAATCATGATTGTTTTGTGAAATCTGCAGATCTGTATTCCTGTGGATAATATATTCTGTGTCATTGTCTCTTCTTTTATGGCACTCTCGCATTCACATAAACCCAACCACACATACTTAACGCATCATTCATATACATGAATACATTTTTCCCATGATCTCTTATAACTGACTACAATTTGGTAAAGCTGCCTACCCCTTTTCTTAGTTGGATTTCTGCCAGATCAGCAACACACAGTCCCGTCTGTCTCAGGTTCTATGCCTGAAAACAGTGTGAAAGTTCATCATATACTGTTCCCTAACACTTCAACAGGTGGAGGAAAGATCTATGTGTTCCAATGTCATAAGAAGACAGTATGTACATCTTTGATTTTTATTTTACACCTAGCCAGTATGAAGGCCAAACTTTGCCCAATCCTCAAGTGTACTGTCCCCCAAAGTACATATGACACCGTAGCTAAATGAATACAAGAATACAATTAGAGTAGAAGACAGTCTCATTATCCAGGACACAGTGAAAATATCAAAACACCACCATCCCATCATGTGCTTTACTGCAGCCCATTTACTTGGTTGACATAGAAGCAAAAGCAACATCTATCTTTTAACCCAACAGAAGGATTTATTTCATAGCAGATGGACCAAAAAAACAAAGCCAAAAGGATTTTAGAAAGGTGGTGGTTATAGTTTTTACAAAAACAGCTCTCTCCAGTTCATAAAAGAAACACAAAAAAATAGATCAGCTTCCAGCTATAATAACTTTGACCACTTAAAAGCTCTTCTCTCATTCTTTTCATTTGCAAATATATGCTTTTAAGTCCATGCATTTTGGAAAGCAGCCACTTGTTCATAGAAACTCACACCTCAATAAGCATGTATATCTTGGAACTATGACAGGATGCTTTGCTGCAACCAACTAACGTGTCAAATGCTGTGGAATAAATCCACTCTTCTTAAAATGAAGCATTCCTTTTGCTGCCACATTTAAGAAGACAGTATATCCCTACATGATTTAAAGGTTGGAAGGACAGCCAATGTAACTTATGGATTCTCTTCTATAACATTTAAGGAAGGTTTACAGCTGACTTCCACCTTGGATATATTCCAACATTCAAGTTGTCCAAACCAACTAGTTTAAATTGTAACTGTAATCACAAATCAATACAGGTTAAAAAAAAAAAATCTATGCATATATTACTCAGAAGTAGCCCTCCCTGAACATAGTGGGGCCTACTCTCTAGTAAATGTGCTTAGAATTACACTATCATGCTTTACTCCTTTCTGTTCCATATAAGCTACCCTTCTGAATTAAGGTTTGAGAAACATTTTAAAATGACATCTATAGGGAAAACGTTGCTGAACTGCATGGCTTAATATATTTCATACATATTTCATACTTAGTCAAGATCATTGTAGAAAGTCTTTCAATTCTTATACCATTAATAATGTACCATTAAAATCAAGCTGTACATATTAGTGAAATGAAATATAAATATTTATTATGTTTTTCTTCAAACAGCTTTTTAAAGTTGCAGAAAGTCTAAGTACAAACTATAAACCCATGGTTCCATTCTTTTTGTCCCCTTATGTACTACCATTAGCTACTAAGCTAATAGATATAGACCTTGTAGATCAGTGAGATCAATCAGAAGTGCTGTTATGGCATGCACTGTGATGAACAGTATGGCATTTTATAGCTACTCATTATGGGCTTTCTTTGTGGTGGTACATGTTCTTTGAAATTGTCCCCTCCCATCAAAAAGGTAATTTATGCCCCTACTATTATGTCTTTTAGGTGCCTATTGCTTAGAAATGGTAAAACACTGCACTAACAAGCAATGGAAATTTCCTGGGAATTCTGGAAGCTTCTATTCTTCCTATGGACCATACTGATCCAGCCATTTTCAAGGGTGGTCCGGCAGTTATATGGAAGTAAATCTTCTAATACGGTAGCACTTAGTGATGTTTAGAACTGTTCTGGAAGATTTACTTTCAGAAGAATGGTGGATACCAGTAGAATGGATGGATCAGAAGAGTCCAGAAGATGTTCTAGAATTTTCCAGAATATTCCATACTGGATATTCTGCACATACTACTGATGTGCAGAATGTAGGCCTTCCCTTTATGAATGTTAAATGAATGGAACACTTCTTTTATTTCTTTTTTATTTTTTCTCCTTTTTTTTTGAATGAATGTAGATTTTTACCCATTTTAATTTATTGCTGTTATTATGGTATTTGTATTAGGTTTTGAGATGTAATTCTTCCAATTGTGTTTTGAGCTTACTTTATTGTTTTAAGGTGGCAGACGGCACTAAGTGATATATTCTATTACATATCTCTCTACAAACATCCCATGGAGGAGCTCCTTCATTGTATTTCTGTATATGTTTGTAGTTCACATTAGCTTGGTCTATGACTGAAATAAAGACTGTTGTTGATAATTTTCCTTGAAACTGAACTGAAAATAATGGGAATTCAGGCAGGCTGCTGAAAGCCAAGACAGAATTATGCAATTAAAAAATGGACACTCTTTCCTACATACCTCTCACCCATGAGAATCTCATCAAAATTTTATTTTCCTTTGGGTAAAATAAATAAAGCCGCTTCTTTTCCAGCACCCTCAATGATTACGGATGATAAAAATGCAAAGAATGTTTCAGCACAGCACCAGTTCAAAGGATCAGCAATAAATACTAGAGACTTTACAAAATATTTTTAAAAATCGCAGACTGTAATAAGATCCTGTTTAATAACTACGTGCAATAACAGGTTTTGGAAGGGTGGCTTGTAAAACTTACACAAAAGCCAAAGTGTGGACACTTTATATAGAAAAACATAGAAGCCAACAGATGGGAAAATTTCTCCTACATATTCATAGTAAGTATTGTTCATTTCCATGCAAGTTTTATTAGTCTCAGGGTTTTATTTCTCCTTCTAACACTGGAAACCACATCCAGATTATAACACTTAAAAAAATCTAAAATCTAAATCTAAAACACTGCTAGTGCACAAGAATTCTGAGCTTGTGATTACATACTTC